TATAAGATTGATTTGACGACCTCCGTGGCCGAGTGGTTTGTACGCCGGGTTTCATGGGGTCGCCGACTCGAGAGATCCCGGGTTCGAATCCCGGTGGGGGCAGATGTTTGTGTGATGAACACGAGCATTTGTACTCCAGTCATGGATGTTTAATATGTATTTCTATATAAATATACTTATATATGTAAAGTATATGTATTCTATCCATTATCCTAGTATCCCATAACAGAAGCCGTACAGTGCTTATTTTGGGGCTAAGCTAATTGGTGTGGCAGTTGAGCGGGCTCCACGTTCCTGCCAAAACTACGAAAATATTGCCGAATACGAGAGTGTAGAGCGAGCATTTCTCGATCTGTAGCATGATGTAGTAGTCATATTACAACAGATAATTATATTTCACGATGTCAAATTCAATATCGTTTATTCTGTCTAAGCTGTTACAAGCACTTGTGAATGTCGAAAAGCTACGACATCGGTTCGCAAATCTACGGCGCGGCGGGAGACCTTGTACTGAGAAGAACCGTCCATCCAACCGTCCATTCCGTACCAGTGCCCATTTTCAACTATGCCGACCGAGAAAGTAGAGAGAGACGACACGAGACCGGCTCGTGTGCTCTCGTCTCAACACCCATTCTCGACAGAACGTTTTCAATATTTATTATTGCTTTAATTAACATTAGCGGAAATAACTCGTAATGTTACGTAAAATATCGTATGCTCATTACTGTTGTAAGACCAGTTTCTAAATTGTATTTCTTAATATCGTATTAACTCGCGGATGGTAGGGAAAATATTGGAGAAAAACGAAAATACGAAACAAAAAGCGTATATTAACGTTACGTTATTATAAAACGGTTTATCATCATACGGCATATAACGGCTTAACGTGCTTTCCGAAGCACGGAGAAGCTCAAGATAGTAAAATTTGGTCACCCATGCAAAGACCGAACGCGTTAACCACTTGCGCCATCGCATCGCCGCGGTATTCCTGGCCAGTGTCATCGCTGCCTGTAATATGGTCACGCCGCCGCGAATTGCGCTGCCCCTCACTGGTGCTAAGTGCCTAGACCTAAATCCGACGCGCGAATGCACATGGGGGGGGGGGGGGATTTGGGGAGTTGCACTCGCAACTCCCCAAATCCCCCCGCCCCCTTTCCCGCCGCGCTTACGTCCTCTCTGGTCAATCAGGCCACACAGCAAAAAACGGTTTATTTAATTTTAAAATTATTTGGATAAGTTTTTTATAAATTTCTTACTGTGACAATGAAAGAAACAAAGAAAGAAATATGTCCCAGATCAATTCATTTGTTTATTATTAGTAAAATAGGTACGTACATAATGGTATCGATTCCGGCATGTTTCTCTAAACTTTAAACTATATTTAACATCAGTCTCTTCTTTTATACTGAATAGAGAATGACAAGGATACACTGTTGTCAAATTAAAGTTAAGGTTTAGAGAATCTTGTCAGAAGTCGATTCTGACATGATTCTCTGAACCATTAATTATATTTACCAATGTTAATATTTTGGCCTGCGCAGAAGAGGGACTTTTGTCAGTGGACTTTTTTATCCGTCAAAATAGAACAACAAACCGCTTACAACTGCCTCGGATAATGCACACGAGTGATTAAAAGTACCACATTCAAAAAGTACCCCGAATTACTTAAAAAAATATACTCATCAAAAAAGTCTAAACAACATAAACGTTAATGAACTTATGCAGTTTTTTTAATACTTAAATTCTTTTGTCAATAATAAATAACCAAAACAATTTATAAATGACTAAATAAAAAAAAACTTCTAATAAATTATACACAAATTATGAAACTTGCAGTTTGCGTGAATGATGCATGATTAGACTTTTTCGATGTATCTAAATTGCTATACATGTTTCTGTTAAAAAATTACAATTTTCCAGATTGATCCAGGGTCCTAGATCCTAGATCGAGATCCACATAATTTTATAATCATCCACATAACTTTTTAAATATATAAATTTGAAAATTGTTTTGCGATCAACGGAAACATCGGTGGACATACACAGAAAATATATTCAAATAACGAATGTGACCACCGAACAAGAAGGGAAAAAGTGTACCAACTTTTCTATAAATGCTTCGGTTACATTGGATGAACATATCTCATCTCTAACACTCCAAATTTTCAACATCCCTATGATGAGTTCTCATGTGACCCTTCAGACTGCATTTTTGAACAAATGCCCTATCGCAATGCTGGCAAGCAAACCTCCTATCGTTATTGTGAATTCTCATATGCCCCGTTAATGTCTTCTTTCTGGTATAGCTCTTTTTGCAGACCTGGCACTTAAATTTCTTCTCATCGCTATGACTAATCATATGTGGGATTAGGGCGTATTTATCGTAAGTATGGTAATTACAATGGTCACAAAAGTATTTTTGTATTTTCACGTGTGTTAAACGCTCATGTGCTTTCAAATTGGAACTGGCCAGAAAAGTTTTCGGACAGAAGCCGCATTTGTAGGTATTCCTTTGTACACCGTGAACTGTGAGAAGATGTTTCTGCTTCCTGTAGTAATCTTGAAACTTTTCTGGACAAAGAGTACATTTATACTTTTTGGTGTGCAAATGAGCAATTTTGATATGGTCTCGCTTAGCAGAAATTGTGCGATACACTTTGTCGCACATTTCGCATGGGAAAGAGCCGCTGTCATGCGAGTTGGCGTGCGATTTGAGACGATCTTCAGACGGAAAACTCTTTCCGCATTGATCGCAGACACAATTCTTGTAATGAACATTCATGTGTCTATTGAGCAAGATATAGCTGTCGCATTGTGCATCGCATCTCCCGCAAATGAAAGAGTCATCTGTGATTTTGAAGGGTACAACTCCGTCGTTCTTCAAATCCACATATTTCCTATGCTCTGTAACTAGATGATTCTTAAGATCTTCAAAGCTCGACAAATTCCGATTGCAAATTCTGCACGTGTAATCGATGATGTTGATTTTGATTGGTTGGTTCCCCCCTTTTATATTCAATGTTTTTCTAACATTATGTACATCAATATTGTAATGGTCAGTATTTAAATGTTCAATTAATTGAGACATGAAGAGTGATTTGTGCTTACAATAGAGGCACATGAAATATCTATTAAATTTAAAAGGACAGACGTTGGCATTGGCTATAATAGTCATGGTGCTTTCTCTAATCGATTGTTTTACATCAATATCGTTACAACTGCTTGATGGGGCGTTTCCAATACCCATATATCCGATTGGGCGTATCGGTTTGATAAGTTGTGTTTGTGCGGAAGTGGTGGTACGCACCGCCTTGATTTCGATTGGCCGTATTGGAATAGAAGGGACCACCGTCGTATCACCTAAAAGGAAGGAAAAATCTTTTTGAAACATCATTTTGTAATAGTTGTAGAACTGACGCTATTTTCAAGTGCTAACTAAAATGTGTTTAAGGCAGTTTACTTACATCGTAATTTATTTGACACAATGGTCTCAACTGCGTAGTGAGTTAGAGTTTGCGAGGTTGGTCTAGTCTGTTTGCACTCTAGAACCAAACTTCTTTATTACAAAACGGTTGAAAATGCTACTGTCACGTTCGTTTGTTGAATCGCAAACAGAGACAGTATTAAGTTTAATAAACCGTCTTACATTTGGCCACGTAAACTTCATCTTTTACCGTCACAGGCAGCAGTTATTTTTTTATTTGAGGACGATCAACACAATATACACTTATATAAGAAAACAATATATAAGCATCAACGCTTGTTAGGTGCTATTTTAATTACAGGTCATCATATATATTGATTATTCTGAAATCTATTAATAATAATGACAATAAATTAACATAGATAGAAGGAGATAATAAAATATTGTACACTGTTAAGAAGTACAACTTTTTTAATATAGAAGAAATAATTGCTATTAGACTTTTAGCACATATTCTGATTATAGTTATTATATAAGTGATCATGGCGCTTGCGATAATGCCTAAATTTCGAAGACTCACAAAAAACAAGGTACATGTTAGTGACCATGAAAGTTTAAAACACTATATTCTGATAAATCTGAAACCTGATAATAATAATAAATTACTGAATTCAGATAGAAGTACCTAGATAAATAAAATGTACACAGTTAAGTAGTAATTCTTTTTTATAAATTAAAAATAAAATTTGCGACGAAAACGGCAGCAAATAACAATTTGATTAAAATCGAGATAATTTTCGAGCAGAAGGAACTGAAACTTTTGGGAGTTCAGACTTTAAGTTAATGAGATAGAAACAGACAATTAATAGGAAAACTGATAAGTCCTACATGCTGCTTTGTTTTGTATGAGCTAGCAAATATCAGCAATAGTGTTACGACAGCGCCATCTAGTCTAGGTAAATCTAGATGGCTTGCAATGTTCGCATTGTGTGTTCAGGTTTCGACACTTGTAACGAATCGTTATTCACGAATACATTTCGTTACTCGTATGTGTCGTACTGTACCCTTAGTATGAGTTTGAGCTCACGAAAACTATCATAGTTTTCGTAATAATTGTAAATTATGTTTCAATGTCCATTTTGGTGAAAAGTAACCGAATATACTCAAAACTTAAGAAGACGCAAATGATTTAATGATAGAATTTAAACACTGTTTATTTGTATTGAAACGAAAACAATAAAATCAGTACTCTTAGTACGAGTACGAGATCACGAAAACTATCATAGTTTTCGTTTTGTAAAACTCGTACTGAGGGTACTGATAATGTCAATTTGATTCTGTGTACGGATGTACGAATTCAACTGCGCATGTAACGTTGATGCTTGAATTGAAACGGTTTGCTCATCTTGCGTTATAAATCATCTTATGTTTCGTGATGAACAAAAATACTTAATATTGTTCGTTGAATCGAATGTATTGAAACACTCGTTACGAAAAATGATTGTTTATACAACACCAAATTTGTATACTGCAAGAGCTCAACAGTTAAATAATAAGTATTATGAATGTGATGACAGTTGAACTTCAATCTAGTATACTATTATAAGTACAGTAAGAAAGGAAATTGATTAGACAAAGCTTGAAGCTGAAATTGAAACAAGTTTAATTTAAACGCACAACGTCATATTATACGTAACTCGACTCGACTCGATCAATGCAGTGGCTTACACTAGTACCGAAAGTAACAAGTAACGTAACGGTACGATAGTAACGAGTATTGATTGTTATAATAACGAATACGAGTACCAAATATCTCGTTACTTTTACAGCTCCGATTGGCTTCCGAGTAGTAAACATCTGAACCTACCTATCGCACTGTCTTTCATTTGGGCACTCATTTTATTACAGATAGGTACAAATAAGTGATCTTAGATATTATTTAAGAGGAAATCGCTTTAATCCATCACATTGGTACCATCTCTAACTGTCTAGGTTTTTATCGCATCTGCGAGCCAGCGCACACGTTTACACATTTGTTTAAGTCGAATTAAAATTAGGTACGGGGCCTTAGGCACTAATGTCGTTCTTTATATGCGTCGGATGATGCACTCTAACGTGTTGTTTGAGACTACAATTTTGAATGAACGCTTGTCCACACACAAAACAGACGAATCTCCGGTCATCGTTGTGTATCCTCATGTGTTCCCTAAGAGTCTTCAGTCTAGCATATGATTTCTTGCAAACATCACACTGGTATATCCTTTCACCGTTGTGTTTAATAGAATGCTCCTGTAACTCATAATTGGAGAAGAACTTCATTCCGCACTCGTGACAGATGTGCTTCCGTTCTTGAAGGTGCTGGAACTTGAAGTGTGCAGTCCGGCGGCTGCACAGATCGAAGACTTTAGGACACAGGGTGCAAGGGAAGACAGCCGTCTTCTCACCGTGTACCGTATTCAAGTGCTTCACGCGATGCTTGTACGAGGCGAATTTTTCATCGCAGACTGGGCATTTGTATCTCTTATTCGAACGATGCACTTTAGCCACGTGAGCGTACATCGCTGCATAAGACGGAAAGGTTTCCTTGCATTGTCTACAGGGGAAACAGCCTCGTTCATGAGTCCTGGCGTGATTCACCATCCTCTGCAATGTCACAAAGTTCTTCCCGCAATTCTCACAAATATAATGCCCGTAATGGTCGTTCATGTGCTTATGGAGACTGAGGAACATTTCGTATCTCTTACCGCAGATCTGACAGCAATATTCATCTTTACTTAACTTATAAGGCAGCACACATTCACCGTAAGTGCAGTCGATCGTTTTGTTATGTTCTGTTTTCAAGTGCAGTTTCAAAGATGTGTAATCGAGTATGTCTACACCGCAAAGTTTGCATGCGATTTTCGTGAAGTCCATTTTTAGAGGCTCATATTTCCTCGGTTTGACCGTAATTTGAATGTCCGAATGGTGGGTTTTGTTGTGTTCCCTTAGCTTTTCCGGTTCTAGGAACGTGTTTTTACAATAGAAACACAAATACGTCCCTTTCCTGTACTTGAAAGGGTAAGCAGTACAACATTCAATTATGAGTGTTATATTCCTTCGAAACAAGGATCGTTTCTCGTCGCCGATATCGCGAGCTGATGCTAACAATGCAGCTGCGTTTATCTCTGAACCAGACTGTTCTGCGCATGTTCTGGCTTCGTTTACTATCTGTTGAGATTTTCTTCCTAAAAATAGAAAAACATCCGATATAGGATCTGGATAGAAGACCAGTATTTATTATTCACATAAAACTAAGCTTAGTAATGGACTTGACATAGGGAACATGGAGTGTAACTAAAAAAAGCGTCTTTTTCAGAAATAGTTTTAATTGGGGTCATATATACAATCTTACTTTTACATCGTTATAATTTTTTAAAGTAAATTTGATTCTTCTTTTTTAAGAGACTCCGCGTTAGGGTGATGCGCTCTAAGATGACTTTTCAAACTACATTTCTGTACAAAAGCATTATTGCAATATTCGCAAACAAATCTCTTATCATTATTATGTATACGCATATGTTCTTTGAGAGATTTTTGGCGTGAGTAAGATTTTTTGCAGACTTCGCAGTGAAAGTTCCTCTCCCCAGTGTGTTTCACAACATGGTTCTTCAATTGAGCAGCAGTGCCAAATTGGGATGGGCATAGTAAACAAAAGAATTTTCTGACTTTTAAGTGAACCTGCTCGATATGTTTTGTTCTCTGGTTAAACATCGTAAAAACAGCAGGACACAAATGACACTGGTACTCCACTTTTCTGTCATGTGCTTCATTGAGATGTTTTGATCGAAGTAAATAACTTTTGAAACTGTCTTTGCAAAAGGGGCATCGATACCTATACTCTTTCCCATGTACTATGGCATTGTGACTGTATTTCTGAATTTTCGTGGTAAAAACTTTATCACATTTCGTACATTTTGGCTGCTCTTTGGTGGTTGAGGCGTGTATGGCTAAATGTGCTTTAAGTCTGCTTGGCGCAGAAAAAGATTTTCCGCATTCGTAGCAAATGTTGTTTGGGTAATGCTTATTCATGTGCGTGTTCACTTTGGAGAACACTGCAAATCTTTCATTACAATGTGAGCATATGAAATCGTTGTTATCAGTTAAAAATGGCGTCACCCCCAAATCGTGTTCCAATGCGAAGGGTTTATTGTGAACGTTTAGTAAATGATCTTTCAGAGTGTTGACGTCTACTATTTTTTCAGAACAAAGCTCGCATTTGAGTTCGGTAATATCTATTTTAACATTGTCGCCGCGCTTCGAGAAACGTACAGCCTCGATTTTATTCGAGTGTACCTTAGAATGGTCTCTGACGGCTGATAGATCGCCAAACGTGAGTTGACAGCACCCGCAGATAAAAGAGCCACGCCATCTGAACGGGGTCGCATTAGAAAACTCTAAAATAATCGCAGCATTGTCTCTGTGATCGTTATACTTGCGTTTGGGGTTCCATTTAAGATTGTTGTCGGATCCTAAAAAAGAAAAATAACTTTTAAATTCTGATGGTTGATCTACCACAGATTACAGGAGGAGGTTAAAAGGGTTTTCCCTGAAGTAACTGTGTTCTACGTTGTTCTGAAGTGTGAATTTGAGTTATGAACAATAGTTCCCCAAAATAACTTCTCTATATCATAATTATTTTTATGAATATCGGAAACTCCCAGCTATCTTTCTTCACACACAATGTCTGATTGAATAACACGACATGAAAGTGCACGTTGCAAATACTTACGAACGACTCATAAATACGAGAGCATGTTCAGTGTATGCATTACCTACAACTATTACAAGCCTTGTCCACGCTATACATTACGAAAAGGTGTATATTATGTAAATCATGGAAAAGAACATAAGTACAATTATTTTTCATTTTTTTTAACATTTAATTGCTAGATGTTTAAATCTAAAGAAAAGTTTTAATAGAAATCTTTAAATTGATAAAATTGCCATAATAGTCATAATAATTTTTATTAACGGTAAATAAATTTATTATCCAAACAGGTAGAATTTAATCTAATTTTGAACCATGAAGCAGATAAAATTGCAATATCTAGCTAAAAGATAACCATGAGAAAAATAGAAGGTACACGAAAATTTGGAACTCAGAGAACATATTGGCTGTGTAACATTAGGGAGTGGACAGGAAGTCCTTGATTCAATGAGGCCAGTTGAGACGCTGCGCGTGCTAAACAGTCGGCATATAAATCATGGCATTCGGCTAACATGTTTGTGTCAAGCTCCGAATTTAAAGAGGAAAGGAATAAAAGCCGCTTCGGGGACTCACAAGAATGCTATAGCGAGAGCAAAGGCACAATATATTTGGCGAGTAAGTCAGAAGCTGAATGGGTTTCCCTCCGGCAAACATATCATTTTGGTCATCATACCCTTTGTCGGGTTGCCATTCCACCGCTACATACACCTATGGCGCTGTGGCCCTCAGTGTGAATGACAAGGCAGACTTACTGGTTAAACTCTTCCCTTCCAACTCGACCTTGGACGATCGGAGAACTACGCCTCCAATAATCTCCTTATGTGGAAGTTCAATGCCGTAAATCCGCATCACCCAGCGGACGTTCGGCAAGAACTTATGCAGTTAAACGTTCATAAGTTGTGTAGACCTGACATACACCCATGTGTCGACGACATCTACACGGTCCATCAACGACCGATCGACTCGAGCTATTGCTCGAAACCAGGTTTGTAGGCAGCGAGCAAATAACGTGTACAGTAGGAGAACTACTGCCTTCCTAGTCCCGTGTATGATCAACATATATAATGAACAAAACAATACACTCCATAATAACAGATGGCTCTACCGGCGCTGCACTCAAAATTATGGAAAGTCTACATCGCGCAAGGATAAACCTTCATAATATGCAAGCAAAATTGGTAGGGACCAATATAATAAAGATATAACAATGAGCAGCAGAACAATTGGCAAAAACTTTTCAATCTCGATGTAACAAAAATTTAAGTAAGTGGGCAAGAGCTCACTTTCTTAAATTATAAACTTATTTCTTTTTGATAAAAGAAATATGACTAACAGAGACTAACTATGACTTGGCAGAGAACTTTATTGTTTAGACCCCCAACTATTGTGGAGAAATCACAATATATGAGATGCTAGAAAGCAATCAAAAAATTCATCAGGAAATAGGAGAGTATTTGATGTTGGTGAAAAGGTCAAAAAAACCATGGATTCAGGGTATCGACATAGGAATCTGTTCCTAACATACCTTACATTATGGATGTGGATGGTTGTCAATGAAAAAGGCACACAAGCCAAATGTTGGAATGTAATGAAAGCCAGAACAGCATATATATCAAATATTCTGTTCTTGATTCTTTACGGATCACGGTGAGGAGAATAATGCAAAATTAAAAAATATTGTTTTAACGCAGAAGCGTTGTTCTGTATCCAGAGGTTAACATGCGAGTCTCTCGCTTACCCTTGTGTTCTTATTCTCTTTTCTCTCTGCCCTGCTGGCTGACGCTCGTTTTGAGAGTAATAAAAGTGCATATTAATTAATTAAACAAATTTTAATAAATTATCAAGACATAACAGTAAACATATCATCTAAGTCGAAATTTTGAACATCCCTATGATGAGTTTTCAGGTGACCCTTTAGACTGCATTTTTGTACAAATTTCCGGTCGCAATATTGGCATGCGAATCTCCTATCATTGTTATGAATTTTCATATGTTCAGATAATGATTTCTTTCTGCTATAGCTCTTTTTACAGACCTGACACTCAAATTTTTTCTCATCGCTATGACAGTACAGGTGCGAGATAATTGATGGTCTATTGTAAGTGTGGTAAGAACAATGGTCACAGATGTACTTATACATTTTCTCGTGTGCTTTACGCTCATGATTTCTCACACCGGAAGTTCTCGAGAAAGTTTTAGGACAATAGCCGCATTTGAAGGTTTTCTTTTGTAAGCCGTGGACAGTGACAAGATGTTTTTGCTTATTGTAGTGATCTGAGAACTTTTCTGGACAAAGCGAACATTTGCTCCTTTTTACGTTCAAATGTACACGTTTTATATGTTCCTCTTTAGCAGTAATTGAGCGATACAATTTGTTACACTTTTCACATGAGAAAGAGCCGTTTTCGTGTGTGACAGCATGCTTTTTGAGATATTGTTCAGCAACGAAACCCTTTCCGCATTGGTCGCAAATAAAATTATTGTAATGTTTGCTCATGTGTTTATTGACGAGGAGATAGTTGTCACATTCTTCGTCGCATCGCCCGCAAATGTAAGAGTTTTCTGTGATTCTAAAGGGCACCACGCCGTCGTTCTTCAAATCTATAAATTTCTTATGATTATCAACTAGATGATTCTTAAGATCTTCAAAGTTTAACAAGATTTCATTGCAAAGTCTGCAAGTGTAGTCGATTACGTTGATTTTGATCGGTATAAACTTCCCTGTTCTAATTATTGCTTTCCTAACGAAGTGGTAATCAATGATGCCATGTTCGGTATTTGTGTGCTGAATTAATTCAGCCATGAAAGGCGATTTGTGCTGACAGTAGAGGCACATAAAAAATCTATCAAATCTGAACGGGCAAACGTTGGTATGGACTATTATAGAGATGGCGCTTTCTCTAAGCGATTGTCTTTCATAAATATCCTTATGAATGCTCAATGAGGAGTCTCCATCACTCGTATTTCCGATTGGAGGAACCTCTTTTCTAATGTGTGTTTGAGCGGTTGTGATAGCACGCACCGCTGTAATTTCGACGGGGCGTAATGGATAACAAGTGCTCACCGTCGAATTGCCTAAAAGAAAAGAAAAATTATATTGAAACAACATAGTTTTGTAATAATAAGATAAATTATTACGAAAGTTTAGCACTCACGAATTATTAATAGCATTAGCCCTAATCAGCATTCATATGCTGGGTATCTTAAGTGTGTTTGAGTCATTATGTTACTTAGATTGTTATTTACATGACAATATTATTCCAAGAAAGGGAGTATCTTGCTGGAGCATAATTGGAGTATCGTCAAATTTAGTTCAAGAAGCCGGTCAAAGAATATATGACTAATAAATTTACTGTCCTAGCTTGTCCTTGCTTCGGACAGCACGAAAGGCTGTTGGTCCAGAGTCCTGATTGCAGCCGGAATGGTCACTCAGTTGGGAATCATGGCCCGTTCCCATAATTCGTTCATTTATGTAAAGTCCTATGCCTGTTCGAATGGTGAGTTTTGTTGTGTTCTCTTAGCTTTTTCGGTTGTAGGAACGTGCTATTACAATAATGAAGACGTGCCCTTCCTGTACTTAAAAGGGTAAGCAGTACAAGATTCTATTAAGAGTGTTATGTTCCTACGGAACAAGGATCGTTTCTCGTCACCGATATCGCGAGCTGATGTTAACAATGCAGCTGCGTTTATCTCTGAACCAGACTGTTCTGCGCATGTTTTGGCTTCGTTTACTATCTATTGAGATTTTCTTCCTAAAAATAGAAAAACGTCCCATATAGGATCTGGATAGACGTCCAAAATTTCTTATTCACATAAAACTAAGTTTAATAATGGTCTTGATGTAGAAAACATTAAAATGTAATGTAAGAAAATAAAACATAAACTTATTTCAAAGAAAAAGCTTTTATTAAGTAAGATCGTGTACATACTTCCATCATTACAATTTATTAAAATTTTCAAATTACATTTATGTCTTCTTTTTTAAGAGATTCCGCGTTAGGATGATGTGCTCTTAGATGACTTTTCAAACTACATTTTTGTACAAAGGCATGATTGCAATACTCGCAAACAAATCTCTTATCATTGTTGTGTATCCGCATATGTTCTTTGAGAGTTTTTTGGCGTGGGTAAGACTTTTTGCAGACTTCGCAGTGAAAGTTCCTCTCCCCAGTGTGTTTCACAACATGGTTCTTCAATTGGGCAGCAGTGCCAAATTGGGCCGGGCACAGTACACAAAAGAATTTTTTGACTTTTAAGTGAACCTGTTCGATGTGTCTTGTTCTCTGGTTGAACATCGTAAAAACAGCAGGACACAAATGACACTGGTATTCAACTTTTCTGTCATGAGCTTCATTGAGATGTTTTGATCGAAGTAAATAACTTTTGAAACTGTCTTTGCAGAAGGGGCATCGGTATCTATACTCCGGTCCATGGACTAAAGCAATGTGACTGTATTTCTGTATTTTCGTTGAAAAAACTTTATCACATTTCGTACATTTCGGCTGCTCTTTGGTGGTCGAGGCGTGTATGGCTAAATGTGCTTTAAGTCTGCTTGGCGCAGAAAACGATTTTCCGCATTCATAGCAAATGTTGTTTTGGTAATGCTTATTCATGTGCGTGTTCACTTTGGTAAACACTTCGAACCTTTCGTTACAATGTGTGCATAAGAAATCGTTATTGTCAGTCAAAAATGGCGTCACGCCTAAGTCGTGTTTCGGTACGAAGGGTTTGTTGTGAACGGTCAGTAAATGTTCTTTCAAGGCGTTAATATCTACCATTTTTTCGGAGCAAAGCTCGCATCGAAGTCCTGTGATGTCTATTTTAATATTGTCGCCGCGCTTCGAGAAACGTACTGCCTCGCTTTTATTACAGTGTTCCTTGGAATGATCTCGTACGGCTGATAGATCGCCAAACGCGAGTTGACAGTACCCGCAGATGAAAGAGCCACGCTTCCATCTGAATGGGAACGCATTAGAATACTCTAAAATAATCGCAGCATTGTCTCTATGATCGTTATACTTGCGCTTGGGGTTCCATTTAAGATTGTTGTCAGATCCTAAAAAAGAAAAATAACTTTTAAATTCTGAGGGTTAATGGCGAACTGGCGAACTTCGTACCGCTTACAGTCTGAGAATATTGTAACTTTTACCATAATGGGTTTTAATAACGAAATATAAAAAACGGACATGTGCTGTTCACATGCGATAGAAGTGAAACCTACAAAAATGTGAACACGCCTGTGTTAAAATTCAACTCTCTAGGTGAAAATTAAATGTTTTAAACTTTCTTTTGAAAAATGAATAATAGCTTAATAAAAGAGAAAAAAAAATAACTGAGCTCAGGATCAAACCACCGATCATTTGGTATCGACCCAAAGACCGTTACCGTTCGCCTATTTGTCTCTTATAGTAAATGATAAAATTACGGATACCTATCTTGTGCCAAATATTCGACTTCCGTTTCATCGAATCTTAAGTCACAACGATACTAAAGAGGTTTTCACTTCAAAAAAAAATGAGTGTACTTAGGACAATACGACTGAAGTGAAACTTTTTTTAGATCCATCTGTATGTATGTATATATATACATGTGTGTGTACAATATATACATGTATATACATATTTCATTTACTAGCTATCCACTTATCCTATATTATAGCTTACCCCTCAAGTCAAGCGTACGTAAAGAAGTTTCACTTAAAAAAAAATGAATGGTTTATGAGGATAATTATATTATATAAAGAAAATGACAAACCATTTCTATTTCAATAACATGTCAATAAGATAGTTGATTTTTTCGCGGCATGAGTAGCACTCGATTAATTTTATTTAGTGCAGCACCTTGTGATTGTGACAATGTGTATAGTAAGGTCGACATCTGAATATGCCACCTAAAATTACCATAAAAAAGCGTTCTCAAAATGCAGAGCCTTAAACTAGAGAACACCCCTGTGATTTGTGAATCGTTATGGTGAATACAAGATGAATCGAAAAGTGGTGTATTCGCTTAATCGGGCTTATCAGAAACCTCAGAATAAAACTCTGGCTTTTGAATTTTCAAGTTTTATCACACAATTTCAGTTTTCTTATCACCAAAGATATTTCTATTACGTGGTTGATTTAGATTGTGAAGGATGGTCACCACCGAGCTTACTTTCAGTTTTAATAATGGCGTGGTTAGCTGGACACTTTAAATTATCAATAATAAATAGAGTTAAAAAGTCAATCAGATGCCTAGTTAGTTGGTTGGCTACGTCATCGTTTGTTATATAATGAATGTAGGGTATCGATTACCAACGATATGTTTTATTAAAGACATCTACACCTACCTCCTTGGCGCCCAAAATGTCTTGTTCTCTCAACTACTTTTAATTGTTTTTGTTAGTAATTATGTGCGGAAGTACTTTGTTTCAGAACTCACATTCGATGAGACGAAATTTCGATTGAACAGAGACAAAGCTTTCACAACTAATTAGCAATTCTTTGGACGAATCTTCTGAAGATTGACCGTTCTGCAAATTAATTCTCATATCTACTGCCATCTGAAAATTCATTACTTAACGCTTAAAATACCATTATTAGCGGCAAGCCCTTATTTCATTGGCAGTGGTAGATCTTGGAATAACTTTCACTGTTTAGCGGAAATCTCTATACAGTAAAATTATTGCACCCCCGAAACGAAAAAAACTATCGATCTATTGAGGTGATCCATATTGCTTAAAAATGTAGTACGAATATCTTCCAATATGGCCGTTATTTCAGAAGAAGCATCTGCAACCCCAAATTTCAGATTACACATGAACAGTAGCCAAATTCAATGATATGAAGAATGTCTTTTGATTTCTACCGATCGCATCTTAGAATAATAAGCCGCAATGCAATTAATAAATCTGACAACGACAAACATTTATTTCTGATGTTGGTATGTTGCATTTTTTTCTCACCTGAAACGAAGACAGAAAAAAAATGTATCTTCGAAGAAAAAATCACGTCTGTATTCCCCGAGGGAGTGGACGGAGTCGTGTGATCACTAAATCGTCGAAGGTTACCATATAGCTTAATTAAAAAGGGTCAACAAAGGTTTCCAGATCTTTGCCCAATATTTTCCAAACACAGCCAGTTTCTTAGTCGAACCTTACGACTTATTGGGAACTTTAGATGTACGTGTGCGTGAGTGCCCTTCGAGAGACCACTGTGGAAAACGCAGGTTTCGTATACTTACATAAAGGTTTAGCAGGATCTTTTAAAAAAGTTTGTTGTCAGAAGTAGAAATTTATAGCTGCTGTAAATCGAAGTAAGTCGCACATGAAACGCATCAATTACTATATTACTGTATTCGACCTATTTAAATAATTTTATGAATGGTAATATTTAACAGGTTATTAGGAAAAATAAGAGCGATGCTCGGTAACTCAAAATATAGAAAATTTAATCAGTCAGATCTCACGCGCACAAAAACTGTAATGCTAGGTACAAATTTATCTTAAATTTGCCTCTATAGAGAATAAGAAACATAGTAAAATACCGACCGAATGAAGAACCTCCTCCTTTTCGAATTCGCTTAAAAAAATATTTGTCCAGTAAACGGCTACTAGGCAGTGATGGCAGAAATTTACTGAGTTATTAAAGTTATGATTATCAATATCGAGGGATTGTGAAAGTCACTTGTAAAGGTCACTTCTTTACTGAACAATTATAGTCAAAATACTTTGCGATTGTGCAATAGACCCTAGAATAGATAATGTTAATAAAACTCATCTAAGTATTATCAATGTTAGTTTATTAAAAAAATATTCGATGTTTTCATTACTCAGTTGCTTTGTTTGCCCAGCTTCTTCTTCGTCTTGTGTACGGAATTGACGTGAGAATACCTGAGCGCGCTTGTTCCGAACACAGAAGGGCATAAATTACACTTATATTCAACTTTCTGTCCGTGAATTTTATCCAAATGCCTTAATCTCGCGTAGTAAGAATCAAAATAGTGGTCGCACAGGGGACACCGGTATCTCTCCTTGCGTCCGTGCACTGTCGCCACGTGGCGGTTTTTCGACGCGCGATTCTCAAAGGATAAATCGCATTTGGGACACACGAATCGTCCAACGTCGTGTGAAGCCTGATGAGAGCGGTATTTGTGCCTTAGAGAGAACGCCTTGCCACAAGTGGGGCAAACAAAACTCTGATAGTGCTGATTCATGTGCACAGACAGAGATTGGGCACGCTCAAATTTCAAACCGCATAGTACGCATTCGTAACTGCTCTCTGTGAGCACAAACGGAATCACTCCATCCTCGTGATCCGCGTTAAAACTCTTCGTGTGTTCCTCCTTTAAATGCTGTTTGAAATCTTCAAGATTACGCATAGCTTGGTCACAAATCGTGCAAGTCAGGTCAGTAATGTCGATCCTAAGTGGGAATGTTACTCTCAAGTTTGTGTTTTCAAAAATTTCCATTTTGTCGTGTGACGCGCAATGGGTACGTAGCTCTTTTACGTTCAAACAACACGTTTGACAATATGCACACATCAATTTTCCACGGTGTGATCTAAATGTCACCGCGTTTGAATGCTGTAGAATCAAAGCAGCATTCGCTTTGTCTTCTGTAAGATAACGACGCCGTTTCCATTTTACTTTTAATGGAAGTACGTCGTCTGTCTTTGGTCGGACCTCTTCCAGTCCTACAAAAAAACAAAATCAATTGAAATACTCCATATTTCTTCTTCGTCGAAATTGCCAGTTCTAAAATTGTTGCCACCTTATAAAAATGATCTAACAGCCAGTGGCATGTACATTAGCATCGACATCTTATAAATTAAAATTTTCCTGAAGATTGAACCTTGTAGAAGTCTAACTTTATATTATTAAAAATTATTAATAATTAATAATACCTATGAGGTACACAAGAATGGGAACAAGGGGAAAAAATCGAGAACTGTGGATTTGCCTAAAATCGAGGATTTATTTCAGATTTTGAAAGAATTACTTTTAAAATGTCCTTTAATTGGAAACATTGAGGCCATATTCTAACATGTACTTTTAGGTGCAGACCAGGAAGAGGTATATTTTCACTTTAGCAATTCTTCTTTTTTAGTATGAATCAGTAAATGTCTCTGCAGTTTTGATTTGGTAATGAAAGAGCCTCCACAATCGGTACAATGATATTTTTTCTCAACATAAGTGTGAGCAAAACGATAATGTTTAGCCCGTTGGGTGCTAGTGTCAAAGCTTCTGTCGCATGCTGAACAGTTGTATTCGATCCTTTTTTGCCCATGTTTCTCGACCAAATGTCTGGCTCGGGCATAGTAGGCTGTAAACGCTTCTGAACAAATTGGACATGCGTAGCGCACACCATTTTTATGAACTCTCATTCTATGGCAGAACCGCTGGGTTCTCGTGTTAAATACTTCATCGCATTCGCCACAGGGAAATTGTCCCACCTCGTGACTTTGCATGTGTTTTCTTATTCGAGGTATGGTCGCGAAAGTCTTTCCACACTCATCACATACATAATTCTGATAGTGGGTGTTCATGTGCCGGTCGACTTTTGGGAAGGTGTCAAACACTGCCGAGCATTTTTGACAAGTGAATTCGTTAGCGCTCAGTTTGAAAGGCATCACGCCATCACTACAATCTGGTAGCAATAGCTTGCCGTGACAACTAATATGTTGCTTCAAGCTATCTATACTACCAAATTCCGAGTGACACAGTCTACAAGCTAGGTGTGTGACATCAACTTTCAACATGTTATTTTCTGTCAGTTTCGAAAATACTCTTTCGGTGGGTGTTTCTTTCAAATGAAAGCTGCAGACATGTTCGCGTAGGAGATTTACATCAGTATATTTTATATCACAATACGAGCAATAGAATGTGGCTTTAAAATATCTGAAAGCCCAAGCAGTCGAAGATTTGAGAAGGATCATGGCATTTTGACGCATCTTTATTACTTCGAGCCGTTTCTCTATCCTCAGAGGGCATTCATTGTTGGCACGTCGACGTCGGCGCATTTGGCGTTCGCCAACGTTTTCTTTTACTTTCCTAGGCTTTCGAGCGGGTAAAACGATG